AAGTCCCATTTGCGTAAAAGTTTGGTGGTGTGTACGAATATAACACTTAAATACAGTGTGTTAAATGTGCAGCCAAAATCAAAGGAAGAGCATTTCTGCATTTTACAGTGCTCTCCCTACCGATAGATTTATTTCCATCAGCTGAAGTTTGCATCAGCCTGTTTATTTTTGTTACTTCTTTTTGGAGATGTGCGGGAATAAGTAGAAACATCCAGCAGTATCCATGATTTGCTGTGCTGCGTCTTATCTCGGTGATCCCTTGCTCAGTACTCTGCTGGGTGGAGACTCCAGCACAGGACAGGATCTGTAGTGGGGAGCTGTTCTGGGCGAGGTCGGTGTCCTGAGGCTGCTGCACCCCAGCACCCGACAGCAGCGGGATTGCGCGGTGCTCTGCGCTGGGGCACAGCTGGGGGCACAGCTGGGGGCACAGCTGGCTGCCAGGGCCAGCAGCGCTGGGCAGCAACTCCACCTTCTCCCAGGAGATCAACACCTCAGGCTCCTGGATTGCTGGGAAGCACAGCCGTTGAAATTGGGATCAGTCATCAGTTTTGTAAGAGTGTATTTGGAGATGGGAGCAAAAATCTGAAACACCATTTGTTTTACAGAAACATTGCTATGGTTAAATGGCTTAATAAAAATCACAGTAATAACTATTTCCTAAGAAGACATTAACTAAAAATATATTTTTTGAAACAGATATAAATAAATGTATTAAAATCCACTGTAAATTACAGGATTTAAGTGCTGGCAGTACTGTATTATGAAACGTAGCAAACAAGCCAGAGTTTGTTAATTTACAGTTTACATGAAGTATTGGTATTTTTGAATGATTATGAAGACTTTTAAATGTTGTTTTAATTTCTCAGATATAAGATCTGAAAACCTGATGCCTTTTTTTTGTTTGTTTTCCCCTATAGGATTTTGCACAGAGCTCAGGCCAAATGGAAAATCAGTTATCTCAGCAGAGGGGTACGTTCCCTGCAGTGTCACAGAGTAACAGCTGGGTAGCAAAATGTGTAGATACTGTGATTTAAGTCCTTTGAATCTGCATGGCTGAAAAGGAATACAGTAAATTTACAGTTTGGGGGTGGGCTCCCTGGCTTACATCCTGACCTATACATACATGTCTTCCAGTCTGCTGCTCGTCTGTCAGGGATTCAGACTGTTAATCTTTATTCAATGCTATGTGGTAGCGTGTCTTAAAATGTGATACTGTACCTGCACATATTTAATTAGCTGACACAAAGGCTGCCTTCAAAAGTTTTAGGTTGCAGAAGCTATGTTGCCATGCCAATGCACTCAGGGAGCCAAACATCTCTAAAATACTGTCCTGTAATTGTCCTTTAAATTTTGTCAGTTTGCAGAAGAGTCGTGAGGTTTTTTTTCCCCTCAATTATTATAAATATTATTTTAAATACAGTCAACCTTTTTAGGCTAAACATTTGAAAGATGCTCAGCTGAGATGGCTGTTACTTGCTAAAGACATCTGAAATTCAAGTGTTGATGGGCATCTGGTCTTGGGAATTGTGCATAAAATGTGACACTCAGACAGTCGTTTCTCCCTCATAAGTAGAAATCCACCACCATTTCCTCAGCATTTGCTAGGAGGTGAGTGGTTCTAGGTCTAAAGCATCAAATTTTTGTTTAAAAATAAATTATAAAATGAAAGTAACTTTATGGACATTTTTACTGTCAACATCAGACATCTCAGTCTGAAACAGACTCATGCAGTGTCTGCAGCACCAGCTTTCCAGGATTGTATTTCCATGAGATTCTTCTCAAGAAACATCTAAAATCCAAGTGGAAAACTTGCTTTTTATTTTCACTATTCAAACTGGAGGAACTTTTAAACAAAAATGTGGTAACACGAGTGTGATTTCTAAACAGTATCCAGTTGCAAAAAAGTTAGTAATTCGTAGGCGGGATTATTTTTATCTCGTATATCACTTGAATGTGAAGGATGGTGTGTATTCCCAAAAAAATGGGAATAATCACACTGACGGGAATAAAACGTGAAAGCACAAACTGGGTGCTGGGTGGAGGGTCAGACCCTCAAACCTGTGCGCAGTGAAGTCCTGTCCACGTCCCTGCACGCTCTCAGGAGTGAAAGCTGCATTTGTGCTCGTGCTCTGGGGAGTCGGGAGCACAACTCCTCTGCAACTGCTGAGCAGAAAACACCACTGAAGCTTCCCAAAGTATAACGAGGCTGAGTGGTGTGTCCAGGAACATGGAGTGTGCAAAGATGTAAGGTGTTCCTTAGGCAGAGCCTGACCAGCTAGCAAATGGAAGCCTTTGCTCAGCAGAGCCTCTGCTGCCGTTCTTAAAGCCAAGCGTAGATGCCGTGAGCTCCATGAAGTGTCACCCCATGGTCTGAAGAGATTTGGGTAGGGAGAGGGGAGTAAATTACTTAAAGTAATTTAAATATCTCAAACTGGCTGCGCATTCATTATTCTTGTTTTACTGCCATCTTATCTTAAGAGGGAATAACTTGGTAATTTTGTGTTCTGTCTTCAACAGAAAAATTTTTCAGTTCTCAAGATTATCTTGAGCTCTCCAACAGATTCCCCCGGCAATCCTGGGAAGAAGCTCGACAGTTCTTCTTGAAAAAATAAGAGTTGTATTTAGCTTTTAAATCCCTAACATAGTCACACTGACCAGTTCCTGCTGACTTCCTTCTTTAAAACGCTGTTCCAAAATGGTTTTGATACTCTAAATACTTGTCCTATAGATATATAATTTGCACTATTTATATAAGTACTGTAGATACTTCCAAGTTCTGTTTTGTAATTTTGATAATTTGAGTTTATTTCGTTCTTGTATCCAATGTCATGATTTTGGTGTTTTCTGCCCTGTGGTGGGACTTGCACTGCAGAACTGCTGAAATAAGGTTGCAAATAGAGAAAATATGTTCTATATATCTTGTAATAAAATAACTTATTCTGTCTTGTGTGATTCCTGTGTTAAAATCATCGGTGTGTTTGAATCACCATAAGCAACACAGAAAGAGAGAAAAAAAACCCACTCATAAGCTGTTTTTCTCGGTAATCAAGAGTCAGTCAGAATAATATCAAAATAATTCGTCAGATCTGGCCCCGGAGAAAGTTTGCTTATAATTTTTTGGGTTTGAGGATTGAGGATACGTCACCTAAGGCAGATTTTTTAGACCTCATGCATTTTTAACGCCTCGGCGTGGCCCGAGCGGGGCTCGCGGAGCCCTCGCGTTGCTCCGAGCGCGGCGGAGGCTCCGCGCGCCCGCTCCGGCCGGAGCCGCTTCCAGCGCGGCGGCGCTGAGGGGGCGCGCGACGCCCCGGCCCTGGCTGCGGCAGGGCCGCCGCCGATCCCGGCCCGCGGGCACCGGGACCGCGACCCGGGCAGGACGGGAACCGCGACCGGTGCCGGAGCGTAGACCAGTGCCGTGATCATGGCCGGCAGCAGAACAGTCCCTTCTTGGCGGCCCCGGGCCGCGGCCCCAGCGCCGCCCGTAGCTGCCCGGCCCGGCCCGGCCCGGCGCGGGCCTGAGGCGAGCCACGCGCCTCGCTCCAGCCCAGCCCTGGGAGACCGCGCGGAGCTCCAGCCCGACCCGGACGGAGCCAGGTAACGGCGGGGACCCCGCGGCGGGGCTAGGAGGGCGGCAGGATCCCCATCCCCACCTGTCCCCAGCCGGGACATTGCTCGTCCCGGCGGTGCAGAGCAGCCCCGGGCTGAGCAGCCCGGGCCTCTCCGTGCGCCCCGACGGCAGCTCGCCCTGGGGGCCCGGTCCCTGCACACCCGCTGCGCAGTCTGTTGGGGTACGGAGCCACCGCGGCACCGCGCTGCCCATCCCCTGCAGCCCGGAGGGCTCCGGCAGGGCCCGGCTCTCCCCCGCTGCCCGGGGATGCGGTCAGGGGGCGGCTCGCCGTGGCTTGAGCTCGGGCGGGCCCGCGATCCCGCGGGGAGCTGGTCCTGAGCAGCGGGGTAAGGGGGAGGGCGCGGGAGCTGGAGCGGCCCTGTCGCGCTCCCAGGTGATGCCAGAGGCAGATAAGGAGTCGCCGCCTAGGTCTGGACGGGGGGATGGAGACGCGGGAAGGTAGGGCTCGCCTCGCCTCGCCTCGCCGCCCAGGGGGAGCCCCCTCCGCCCAGCCCCGCCACCCCCAGGGAGGAGGCGAGGCGGCCCCGCACCGCGGCAGGTGCGGACACGGCCGGACGAGCCTGGGGGCTACTCCGAAAGGGAAACCTGCGCTCCGCCTCCCCGGCTATAAATAAGCGGCCCCGGTTCTGAAAGCCGATTAGCGGGGTGCGGTGAGGCCGTGCGGGAGAAGCCGGGGCTGTGCCCGTCCCGACTCTCTGCTCCTCTCCCGATCCGTACGGCCGCGCCGCTCCGCGCCTGGGGTGCCCCTTCGCTGCCCTTTCGCCACTTTTTTTAGTTGGTTTTTAGTTTTTTTTCGTTTAAATCCATTTTTCTTTTCTTTTTTTTTTTTTATTAAGTCCAAAATATTTAATCCCACTATTCAACCGCTGACTCTGACAATAAATAACAATAACTTACTTTTGATCGTTAAAGGCGCAAACAATCTGTCCTTCGTCCATTGATAACTTAACATTATTAGTACTGGTTTTCCCGTTAAAAAGTCTCGTTTCCGTGTCCCTTTTTTCCAGCGATCGTGCGGGGCCGGGCATTGTGGCCCGGGAGAGGCATCGGTGTGAGATGAGGCTGGACGGTGCGGCTCCGTGGAGGAAGTTCCAGGCCAGCTCCACGGCCGCACGCCGGAGGATTCTCTCCCCATTTTGTAGAATTTTTTATGATTTATTTTTCCCTTTCAAAAAGAAAAGAAAAACCGTCCGCAGCACAAACGGCGGGCGAGGAAGCCTGTCACAGTGCCGGGCTTCGGCGGGGAAATCCGAGTTTCTTTGGGGAAAAGAAACATCGAAATCCGCAGGGAAAAAAAAAAAAAAAAAAACAAAACAAAACCAAAACCACGAAAAAACCGGGTTGGGGGCTCTTTCTCCGGTCTGGTGAAGGCAGCGAGGATCCCGGTGCTTTTTTGGCCGACAGTAACATATTTTTTTGTTTGATTTTAAATAAGAATAATTAAAAAACAAAGGCGTTTGTCCGGCGCTCTGGGAGCGGCCCGGGGCCGGGTGTCTCATGCAGGGAGCGCAGGCATGCGGAGATCCCGCGGCGGGGCGGACGGGCCGCTTCACGTCTCGGCCGGGCTGGGTACCATGCTGTTGGGGGTGTCGGGGAGCTGGGAGGACAGCGAGGTCACGTCGCTGCCGGAGGAGGTGCCCAAGGAGCCGGACTCGGAGAAGGAGACCTGGGGGAGCAGCGGTGGTGAGGGCCTGGCGCGGTCGCCCCCTGCCCCGTCCCCCTCCCTCAGCACCGGGCCCGGCGGGCCGGCATCTGCCCGTCCCCTGCGGCCCCACGGACGGCCCGGCGCGGCTCACCAGCTGCTGGAAGGCGGCGGGCTGCTCCAGGTCGCTCTGCAGGGCGAACTCGCTGAGCGCCTTCCAGGGCGGCTGGTAGGTCTGAACCTCCACGGCGCTGCCCTGCACGGCGCTCTCGTGGCGGATGGGGCTGCCGGCCACCAGCGGCGTCCCGGTGAGGCCCTGCAGGCTCTGCGGGCACACGGGGATTCAGCACGACTGCGGCCCGAACCCCCCACCCACATCTCCCTCCCCGCTGGGGAGGGCGGGCGCTCACCGTCTTGTCGTTGTGTTGCTGCTGCTGGAGCTGCTTCATGAGAATGGACTTTTTCTTGTCCTTGCAGCGCTTGTTCTGGAACCAGACGCGGATGACGCGGGGACTGAGCCCCGTCATTTCCACAAGCTGCTCCTTCATGAGGGCGTCGGGGCGCGGGTTGGCGGCGTAGCAGGTCCGCAGCGTGTGCAGCTGCTTCTCGTTCAGCACCGTCCGCACGCGGGTGGTCTTCTCCGCCGCCTTGTGCGCCGGCGGCCGCGGGGCGGGCGGTCGCCCGGGCACCGGCTCTGCGACGGGCGGGGAGGGCGCGCACCGTCAGCGCCGCCGCTCGTTAGCCCGCCGCAGCCCTCCCGACACCCTCCCCGCCCAGCCGCCCGCCCCGACGGGGAGCCGGTACCTGCGAGGTGCGCGGCTGCGGCCGGCGGCAGCGCGGGACTCCGCGGTCCGCGGGCGACGGCGCCGTCGGGGGGCGGCCCGTGGTCGGCGCGGCAGAGCAGGTCGCGCTCCCGCAAACAAAACTGGTCGCCGGGCAGGAGCTGGCGGCCGCAGGCGGCGCAGCGGAAGCACTCCAGGTGGTAGACGTGGTCGCGGGCGCGCATCACCAGGTCGCTGCTGCTGAACGCCGCCCGGCACTGGGCGCACTTGATGCCGAAGAGCCTGCGGGGACGCGACGCGCCGTCAGGACCCGCGGCCGCGCCGTCGGGGCGGCTCCAGGCGGTGCCGCGGGTGGGGGCAGCGGCCGAGAGTCGGGTTTTCGTTGGGGGGAAATTCGGGGAGTTTAAGGGGCTTTTGTGCTTTTTCGGGTCTGGGTTATTTATTTTTTCTAACGAGCGCCGGCGCATTCGGGTCACCTGCTATAATCCCGTTTGCAGTAGGCCTTGCCGTCGCGCAGGAAGCATGTGCAGGTCTCGTCCAGGGGCTGCCCGCACTCGGCGCACTTGAGGCAGGCGACGTGCCACTCCAGGTCCGGCGACACCCGCAGCAGGAAGGGGTCCTGGATGCGGCCCCCGCAGCCCGCGCACAGGGCCAGCCCCGGCCGCCCTGCCGGGAGCGAGCGGGGTACGGTCAGAGTCAGCAGTGTGCCAGAGCAGAGGTCAGCAATCAGGGAAAAGCACATCATCTTTTTTACACTTCATCCTTTTTTTCTGATTCTGATTTGTTTTGGTTTTTTTCCAAAATAGGTAGAAAGAGAAATAAAGAGACACGCGGACAGAAAGGATGGAAACATGAAAGGAGACGAATTAATCTGGCCAGGACAGAAAAAAAAAAAAGGAAAAAAAAAAAGAAAAAAAAAGACAGAAGCTTGATCAAGGCAAATAAATGCAGAAAGACAGAGACGTAAAAGTAGAATTTTGGAAAAGGAAAATAAAAGCAGAGCAGAGATACAAAACCAATAAAACAAGGGCTGAGGAAAACTTGAAAGAAATAAGGAAAGAAACAAAGAAAGAATGAACGAAAGAAATTAGGAAAAAGATATTAAAACGGAATGACGGAAGGAGATACAAAAGCATCGAAAACCCAGAGACGGTTAAAATGGAAACATGGACAAATGAAAACAGTAGGAGACATGGAATCAAAGAGATAGAAAGAGAAATAAAACTAAACAAGAACAGAAAGAAAATTTAAAAAAAAAAACGGAAAGAGAAATTTTAAAGAAGACAAACTGAAACACGAAAGAGATAAAGAAAGGAAAACGGTAACACGACCAAAGAAAGAAAAAAATAAAGGAAGAGCAGAGGGCAGCAGAGAAAGAAATGGAAACAGCCGAAAGAAATGAGCTCAGCGGCGCGGACAGCAGAAAGGACAGCGGGGCCGGGAAGCGCTGGGCACGAACGGGAATAGCGGCACCGGAGTTGCCGCGGGCCGAGCCCGCAGCCGCCCGCGCCCGCCATGGGGCCGCAGCCCTTCCCGGCGCTGTCAGCGCGCCCGCGGTCCGTCAGTCCGCCCGACGGCAGCGGCGGCGCGGAGCTCGACCCGCAGGGTCCCGCGCCCGCCCGCCAGCCCTGGCCCCGCGTTTCGCTGCGCTGCGCGCACTTACTCTTGGAGGGCTCCCCCATGGCGCCCGGGAGCGGCCGCGGGAGGAGGATGTCCACCATGCGGGCGGCCCCCTGCGCACCGGCAGCGATGCGGGATGCGGAGCCGCCGCTTCACCACTACCCGCGCGGCGCGGGGCGGGGGCCGCGCCCGCCCCCCCGGGCCCGCCCCNGGGGCGGAGCGGGGCCCACGCCCCGCGGGACCCGGCCGGAGCCGCACGACGCCGGCACTGACGGGGCGCGCGGCCCCGTGCCCTGCGGGAGAAGCCCCTCCGCGCCCTGCGCCCCGGGCCGCCGCGGGACCCTCTGCCCCGCCCGCCGTGGTGCGCCTCGGCCCTCTGCGCGCAGGCAACGGCGGCATCGGCAGCCCGAGGAGAAGGAGATGCATTGTAGCTTTTTTCCCTCCTCTCTTTTCCCTGTTATTCTTCTTGACTTTTAATTCGCCTAATTTTTTCTCCTTTTATTTCCCCCTTCCTTCTCTTTCTCGTCTCTTTTGCATTTTATTTCGTTGTTCTTTTCACCGCGTTCTTTTCACGGCGTTCCGGCGTGCCGCTGGCAGGTGCCCGCGGGCGGGCTCGGCGGGACGGTTCCGGCGCTGCGCAGACGAGCATCTCCGCGCCAGACGGGAAGGGGCTGCGCGGTGGGCGCCGGCTCGACGCTGCGCACCCGCGGAGCAGCTCCCTGCTGAGGCCCGTGTGCGGGAGAGCCGCCCCAGCGGACCCGAACAGAACGGACCGCAACGTCGGGGCGGCCGTCCCGGGCAGCAGCCCTCTGACGAGTAGAAATTAGCGGAGAAAAACAGTATTTTACCGCATTTTCATGCACCTGATTCCATGCTGCTCCCGCAGCTGAACCTCTCCTGTTGCTTTTTTATACCTTCTGTTCTTTTTTCTTCCTTCTTTTTCCCCCAGTCGCCACGGGCTTCCCGTGCATTAGCAGAAAAATAGGGAAAGCAGTTCCGTGGCCTTTGACTCACTGTTAAATTCCCAAAGACTGCACAGCAACAAAAGTGCCTCATAAGGTCCAGGAAAGCTTAAAAATGCTGGAATTGAGGTTCCTGCTGTCTTGGGGCTTTGGTCCTTTCCTTCATCTCCATGCAATTACCTTTTTAATTTTACACGTGGAATTTGACAGGCATTTGCCAACCTGTATGGCTTGGGAAGGACATGGTGACTTCAGATGTCGGCTCAGGAAGGGCAGGCTGCGCTCATTTTCCTCACAGGAGGGAGATGGGATGGTTTTTCCATGTGAAGCACTTGTCCCTTGTTCGAGTCAGGCACCCTGCAGGTATGAAACCCCAGAAGCTGGGGAGGGGGAAAGGACTCTTTGGATAAAGTGCTTCACTATTTGACCCGCTCTCCCAGCCTGGTCACAGCCCCTGCTACCCCTTTAAGGGCCCCAAATGTTGAAAGCAAGCTCTTAAATTTGTACGAGAGCTGCGGGGGAAAAGAGGTGGATGGCATTTGAAGTACCCACTTCAGCAGGGACGCATGTCACCGAGGGAGTTTGGTATCCCTGCCTGCCCTTGCGTGTGCGAAGCTGCAGAGGTGCGGTGCAGCAGTGACATCCTCAGGGCAGGGTGAGCCCATGTGTTCCCTGCCTGTGTACCATGTGTACCCTGCTGGGGGTTATGGTCTGACTGCTGCCTGCCACTAGCGTGGCTTGCTGGCCAGTGGCAGAGCTGTGGGGGGGGGGTGAGAGGTATGAAGGCAATTGGAAAAGTTTGGCTGGTTCTTCAAACTGGGGTCACCCCGAGGGATGGGTGATGGGAACCTCTACAGCACTGTGGGGCACCAGAGGTCCATGCCTGGGCACCTGGCAGAAAAGAGGTACAGAAGGGTGACTTCAGCCTGAGCCAGAATTCAGAGTCCTGAGTGAGTCAGTATCTGCATGTGTTAACAATAAAATGCAAAAATGTCAGTGACAGGAGAATGAGACATGTCTAAGAATACAGCAGCTTGGCAGGGATGCTCTGTGTTGCATCACCCTTTTCCCACTCGAGGGCAGGATCCTGTCTGCTCTCCCAAACCTCCCACCAGTTTAGGAATTAGTAAAGTTACAGCTGAGCCAACCAAACTTTTGGTTGGCTACCAAACCTATGCAAAGCTGTGCTCCAGTCACACCTGTATCCAAAGAGAGCAATGTGCTCACACCAGGCAGGTATGGTTGGACTGGACTCACTTCACACTAGGCAGGTAGGAACAGGGGAGCAGTACTGCACAGGCAGTTTAGTAAAAAAGCCAAAAAAATTACTTGCCAGGGAAGTGTTGAAAGCCCTGCATCTCCTCTATGTGATATACAAAAAGCTATAAAATTACTACAGGTAATGCCATGAGGCATTGAACCAGCTTGATACCACATGTTTTACAAACAGGTTAATTGTTGATTCATCTGAGGGAAGGTAAGGGAAAGGACATCATAAAGTCATGGAATAATTCAGTCCAGGGGGCACCTCTGGACCACTTCTTTCTGGTAATTTGGAGCTGCTGGAAGCATTTTCTAGTCAAAGCCAAGTGCAATCTCTCCTGCCACACTGTGTCTCTCCTCCACCCAGTGTCCAGAGATCCCAGTCTCTTTTGCAGCAGTTCTGGGTTTGGTGTGAGAGCTGGCAGGAGCTGCTGGCCACGGGCTGAGGCTGCCTAATGGTGCTCCCCGCTCTCCACAGAGCAGCTCTGAGGTTTGCTCCCAAATAGATACACAAGTTCCCTCTAGAAGGGGGAAATGGTAACTATTTTTTTTGTTTGCAGCAGATTGCAAAGGCAGTAAATGCTGATTCTTTCAGAGCCAACCATGGATTAAGTCCATTATAAAATTAAAACAGATGGAACGCAATTTCACTTACATTACAAAAAAGGACAGGAACCATCTGCAATAAGATTTAGCATTGCAAAGCTATTGTTATCATGTTACCATTAAAACCTTTGATGAAGAGTTTTCTTTCTTTCACAAACTTGTTCACATGAAACAAATGTTTTATTTATCCATCTTCCTAAGATAGTCATATTTTATTAAGAAGATGATGTCTCTCAAAAAACCTCCCTTGGTCCTAGCAGAATATGGCAAAACAAAGAATGTTGTAAAACTCCCAAGACTGAGACACTGGGAAAGATGTAGCAAAATGAAAATTCCCTATGCATTTTCCTCTAAAAAACATTTCCTTGTGTTTGGGCACAATGTCTGATACTGAAAATAGATAATTAATGAGATAATGGGATACTGCATGTCACCTCCTGTCCAATGGGATTATCTGATGGCTAATTATGGACAGATTGTGATTAATGTGATTATGGATTGGATATTAATCTGATTCTGGATTGATCTAGTTATGTTTTAGTCTGCTCCAAATGGTTAATTGGATCTGAGATAATAGAAATGCAGCTTGCACCAGATTTTGCCACATCAGTTGATGAAGTATCTTTTGATCTGGGTGGGTTGCGAACAATAAATTATTTACAGCTGTTGAGAAAATGACTCTTCCTTAGAATGTAGTCATTCATTTTATTTTTGAGAGCCTTTGAAAACAAAATCAATATCCTTTCTAAAAGGAGATGTTGACAAAAGAAAGGCACGTACATAACTCACAAACAAATGTGACGAAATTAAACAGTGGTTAACCCGGTGGCCTAATGTCTGGTGATGCATTTGAATTGCTATGTGGAGCTTTGGGCTCAATTCTTCTGAGACCAGCAGGGGTTGGGAGCATTGCAGGGGAACAGGGCCCAGCGCTGGGGAAAGTGGTGTTGCACAACAGCTACTGCCAGCCCTGCTAGTGATTAAGAGTCAGCCATGGTAACATGGCAAAGGGAGCCCTTGCCATTTTCCCCCTCCGGATAAGAAAGATTCAGAAAGTTCATGAGCGCAGAAAAGACTTATTGGCCCATCTCCTCTGGTCTCCTTCATACGAGACCATGCAGTTGGACACAGAATTATTATTTTTTCCCTCACAATGATCCTGTTAATTTATGGTTGACCTCAGTCATCTCTCCCAGAAATGCATCTGGTCTTGGTGTCACCTGCCAGTGCAGGAGAGGCTGCCTTGCTCTCTCATCCTGCCTGTTGACTACTTTCACTGGAATGGACACCTAAGTGTATAGGTTAGGTTCAGCCCCCAGACACTGGATCTCATTATGCTGTTATCTGCAGGATTAAAGGCAATTGGTAAATTGCAGACTTTGTAGACTTTATCTTAGACTTTGTGACAGGGCAAGCAGGAGGTACATTAGCCTTTGTCACCAGGTGCTATAAGTGGCCAGAAGGTTCTCCTCCCTAATGGGTTCTGCAATAAAAGTATCAACAAAAAATATCAAAAATCAAGCAGATTCCAAAACACTTAAAACAAGGCCTACTGCAGCTGCTGTGCTTACACAAAAGTGCTATTGACTGAGCTGAAACAGAAAGAAAAAAGGAAAAAGCAACTTTCCTTGAAAAGTCCTTAGAGGCAGGGAAAGAGTTTTTCCCCTGGAGCTGACTGTTGCTGCTGCTGCTGCAGGAATGGCTCGGGCTGGTGTGAGTGGGAATACAGTGGTATCTGGATTCCTTTCCAGCAGTGTAATGGGCAAAAAAGTGCAGCTACCCCTTTAAAAAATAATGCTGGTACAACCTGTCAGAATTTTACACATATCTGCCACTAACAACAAGGCGAGCTGCATGCAGAAAGAGGTTGGAAGGTCGTAAAACCCCATCCAGGTGTCTGCACTGGGAGGGCAGCAGAGCTCTTCTCACCAGCATTGTTTCCCTTGTCCTCCACAAACCATCATCACTCCTAGGCAGGACAAGTTGCCTTCCAAGGTAACCTGAGCCTTTGCTTTCAGGAGGTTATGAGGGTCCCATTTTGCCTGCAAGCTTGGTAGAAAGGGTTTATTGAACCCCTCAGGTGATCTTGTTATTTAGGAATATGCAGCCTGATGTTACTCCCAGGCTCCCTTGTTACCTGACTGGCACATGGAAATTATTAGCAAAGGAGAGTAGTTTATAAAAAAGAAAATACCTGTCTGTGGTGGTTTTGTAGGCTCAGTATTAGAAGGGTTGTCCCTGCTGTGGGGTAGCTTTGGGGAGCTCTTTCCTCTGTCCTGCACTTCGTAAGCAGGGCTGGTGGCGTTGTCCCTGTCCAAAGGCTTCCATAAGGCCTC